TTCTTACCAAGAATACCCTTAACAAAATATAGTATATACCAAAATAACCGTTAAACCTAATACTTGGGATATTAATGTATACATATTTCTTATTATTTTTAGGATAACTTTCTAATATATAGTGACTTTAGGGGTGAATGCTTTTATATTTGTTGAATGATTTTTAATATATTTAACTTATATTAAAAGAATTAAGTACTTTTAAATTTTATTTTCATATTTTAATTAAATAAAATAAAAAGATTTAATTATTGCCTGTAATAACAAAATTTTGAGATTATTTATTTACTTATAATATTAACTATTAAGTAAATATATTCATGTCCTTATTCGTAATTTGATACTTAAAAACACTTTCTGAAAGTTTGGCCAAACACAAATTATTGCTCAAAAGTACTTTTTAGACTGATTAGCCAAACACAAACTGCTTCTGTCCAAAAGTACTTTTGAAAAAAATAATTCTCAAAATAAACTGATTTCTCCTGCTTAGCCAAACATGCAATAAGTCTTGGTGCGTAGAACCCTACCAATACCACTAATAGTGAAATTAAATAAAAATAAGATAGAATAATCTGACAAGTTAATCCGAACAACACCATATAAAAAATAAGTTGCAGCATTGTTGCATCATTTGGCATGCAACATTTGGTGGAGGATTCTATTTGGACAAAAATAAATTCCTCAATTGAAAACTAACTACCAGATCATTTATTTACTTGTTACGGAAAGCACAGCGTATTTGGAAATCGAAGTTATCCGATCCTTAAACCAAAAATTAAGAAACCAACATTCTTGAATCTATAATAGCAAATAATGGATTAGGAATATCTTAGCAGTTACCACTAGGAATATATACTCAGCCTTTTAATACAGGTTATTTGCAACAATAGCTAATTAAGTTATCCTAAGTTGCTTTCCATATAATTTGGAGCGGGAAAAAACAAAACTACTGAATATATTAATAAGATGCTACCATAGAGTTTTGCAACATCCAACTAATGTGTAAAAATAGCACGAGCTAGCTAGTTTTCGGACTGATAATTCAAAAATAGCCGGCGTTTGTAAAGTTATTGAAAAATAACCACTATTTTGCTGCAACACGGACCGGTCCAGCATAATATACTGGAGATTGGTGTATCTGTGTATGAACTTCTAGCATATTATGCTGGAACTCCAACACGCGAAAAGTTCCAGCATAATATATTGGAGATTGGAGCACCTATGTATGAACTTCCAACATATTATACTGGATCAGTATATTATTCTGGAACTCCAGTATAATATGCTAGAGTTCCAGGATATTATTCTGGAACTCCAGTATAATACGTTGGAGTTCCAGTATATTATGCTGGAGTTCCAGTATATTATACTGGAGTTCCAGCATATTATGCTTGAATATTTTTCGGATTTTGAACAGTGTTTTCGTTCAGATTTATCTTTACATGAAAAATGACTAAATTTTGATTACTTTTGAAACTGTGACTATTTTTCAATTACTACTTGTAAACCTGGCTATTTTTGAATTTCTCCCGGCTAATGTTGATCTACGAGGAATATAATCACTTAATAGAAACAGACTAATTTAAGTGTCAATCACCTAATTCCCCTTTGCTTCTAATGCGACTGCTAGCGTATTTAGTCAAACTTTCAAAGTATATTTTGAAAAGTGTTATCTGTAAAAAGTATTTTTTGGAGATTAACAATTTGTGTTTGACTAATCAATTTAAAATTTTTTTTTGCCAATATTAGAGCAGCAATTTATGCTTCGCTAAGGTTCAAAAAGTACTTACGAGAAAAAAAAAACTATTATTTTCAGCTTCTGTAACAAGTTCTACTACTAATCAAAAGCACTTAATTTTTTCTAAAAATTTGGCCAAAATACTTCAACTCTCTAAAATAAGTGTTCTAATAGAAAAAGCACTTTTGCCTTATTCAATTATTTTCTGTTTGTGTCAGCAAAATTGTGTTGCCTCCTTTTTAAAATGCTCATAATTAAGGAGGTATTAGCTAGAAGACCAACCAATATTTCTAAATTAACGAATCATATTCAAGAATCTTTAAGGGTCTGTTTGGAAAGTCACCTGATAATTGGAATTGGTATAATTACTAGGGTAGTAATTACACAGCCTAGTAATTACACAATTTAGTAATTGCGTCAGAATATAATTACAAAATAATTACAAGCGTACTGTTTGGTTGCACAAGTATAATTACACAGTTAAATTCATTTTTAAATGAAATAATTATCAAAACTCAAAAGTTAATATAGTAAATATATGCCTACAAATAATTTTATAAATGATATTAGATTTAGTATTTAAGATGCATATTTTTTCTTGAATATAAATTAATTAGTAATCATATATTTATAACAAATATTATAAAAATAATTGATATATATTTTCTAAATAATATTTAGTTTAACTAATTATAGAAACTAAAAACATATATCTTGTAAGAATATCATGGAATGCATGTTTGATAAAATAAATTAATATTTATAAATATAATGTCATAACATTATCAAATGTTTGACAAGAATAATCTATCAATTCTAACTAAAAAACGAACTACATGCATGTGAAATAACAAGCCGATACTATTAAAACAAGTAAATTGGAACCATAAATATAATACAATTTCAATTACACCCAATTTCATGCTGACCAAATAATTACTTGGCCAGACAAATATGCCAAACTGTATAATTATACTCAAATCCAATTCCTATGTGGTTTTCTAAACATGCTCTAAATGATATAGTAGTAACTGGAATTAAAGACCTCTTATCGATTGAGACTTTCAAAAATAGATCCTACATTGTTCATACCCCGGTGTTAGCAAAATAATAAAAATAGAAATTTATTACGAAAGTATCAATTTTATTTGGCAACTTCCTTACCCTCATGCCAGCTCTAAGCCATACACGTGATTTACTATTTGCATGATTGCACTGATAAATAATTGTGTAAACTGAACCAAGAAATATTTATAAAATTCATAAAATTTCAGTAAAGCAAATTGAAGAAAATGAAAGATATATTAGGATTGTTAAAAATTCCCCTTTGTAGGACTTCATCAATTAATAAACTAGACTTCAAATTTTATGTCGTGCAAAAGTATGTGTACAATTAGGTCACTTATAAGATAAAACAATTGCAATAAACCTTTATAATAATATAACTAAGCCTAGTAAAGAAACTAACTTGTTACCACATATTTAAGTATACTGATAATATAAAATATATTGACACTGTTAAATCCATCAAAACAATTAATTAACCTAACATGTACATTAATGTGGATCATTTACATACAAGGAAAAGGAAAAGAAACAAACAAAAAGAAGAAGACAAGACAAAATCAGCTTTGCCTTGTTGCCAATGGAACCACTTCAGCCAAAGGAGTAGGCAAAGGAGATGGAAAAGGAGAACTTCTACAATTTGGACAAGTTGGGTGAAGCCTTAACCAAGGGTCAATACACTTGACATGAAAAATATGGTGACAATCAGGCAATAACTTAAGCTTATCATTATCTTTATAATCTGCCAAACAAATTGAACAACCTGAAGAAGAAACTAAGTCCTTTTTATGAGCTTTGGCTTGTGAATAAAGTAACTTTGGATAGCTTTTTAAGGTATCTTCATCAATACCTTGTTGAATGAAAATCAAATGGTTTTCCAATATATTGGTGGTGGTGTTAGAATTTCCAATATGGGAAGAGGAATTATTGGTTGATCTTTTTCCAATATATAAGTAAGAAGAATAGGTGATGAGTATAAGAATTACAAGAATTAATAGGGAGAATCCAATACCATAGCCATAATTTTCAAAGGCTTTTTCATTAAATTGATCTGGACCTTCACTTGCTTCCCCTATAGTGCTGTTCATTTTGCTTGAAATTAAACCTTGATTTTTTTGTTTGTTGTTGAGATAGAGATATGGTGGAGGAAAAATGGGCTTTTTGTACTTTGGAGGCTAAGGAAAGGGAAGATTTGTCTAGCTATGGAAGCTTTTATAGTCATATGAATAAGATAACCTTTATGTCATGCAGGATTAAGCAACTTAAAAAGAGTGTTGATCAGGCAAAAAAGGTTCTTNTAATATATTATAACAGGTTAATTACTTGCATTTGAAGTTATTACATAGAATTACTTACAATGATTGCGTAAATAATTTTTATACTTTCAGTGCATAAAAATTCGAAACTAATTGAGTGTGTCACTCAATTTTTGTTTCCAACATTGCCACTTGGACAGTTACTATTCTCCAAATTATACCATCCTAGCTAGTTGGCCTATGTCCTAGTTTGCAATTTAGGTTGTTTAAATACATTGTGGTAATTAATCATGCTAATAGTTGGCAACATGCATTGAGAATATGTATTAATTAACCACGTTAATATGACTTAGGTAACTTGATTGTCCAAGTTGTCCATTGTTAAGGAATTTAACTTCTATGAACAAACCATGTGAAAAACAATGTTATGTAATCAAGTTAAAGTTACATATAACATAAAGTACTAGCAGCTTGAATTTGATAGCCTAAAAAGTAAAGTAAATACCCGGTTGTAACAAGAAAAATACTATAGTAGTATAAAAGCTTGGATTATTATACATATATGCAGGGCTTATCTCATGCATGTAGGGGCGAAACTACATGTCTTATAGGGTCAATTGACCACCCATTGTCCAAAACTTATGCTACGTATATTCGTAAAATATTAAGTTTTAGACGTATATAAAATATATTGAACACTCTTTATCGGAAAATATTTTTCACTTTTTCAAGTTTGAACACCCTTTAATAAATTCCTGGTTTCGCCACTCATGCATGAATCTGCATCATATATTATCAATTGCACTAAACCATCGATCAAAACCCATATATTTTGAAAAAGAAAGATATATTGTAAATTGCATTAGTACGATCCTAACCAAATTAAAACCAATTTCTTGAGAACTTGTGTATTCATAATTTACAGTAGTAGATCTTAAAGCTTAAGATCTTTTTGGAAGATTAAGAGAAGAAAGGACAGAGGATAAAGCAGAGAAAAAAGATCCAAGAAGAAGCAAGCTAGCAGCAGCATTTGCTACGTTGAAAAAATCTATGCCCAGATTTCTGTTATATTCCACACTGAATCCTAATCCAGCAGCTGCACCAGTTGCCAATAGGTACGAAATAACCTGAAATGTAACGTTACATCCATTGAGAAAGATGTGTTGATTTTCGTACTTCAAATTTTGTCATTCTTTTTTGGAATTGAAGTAATATTTTTCATTTTTTCGAACAATTATTTGGCGTACCTTATCACTATAAAATTCAAAATAAGCAACGCGTTTACCGCCAATGGGACTTGCAGAGATGGTGTGGAAGATTGTTAATACAACTAATAGCAGTGTGTAGGCCATTCCTATCGTAATTGCAGATATCATGTAACTGCATCCCAAATATTCAACAAAAATAAAGAATTTAATCACTAAAAAGCACATATACACATTTGAAATGTTGAATCTGGTCCAATTTACTAATAAATATATAAGGATAATAATCGATTATTTGATCTTATGTGTTCCAAGTTCAGCCAGGAGTAATTGGCCAAACACCAAAATGCTAACAAAGTAGTATTAGTGATTGAAGAAGACCCGTTTGTGTTCCACTTAATATGTTATGAAATTTGAATCAGAATTGGTTACGGGGATGGCAATTGGAGCGGGGCGGGGCAAGTTTTGACCAACTAACATTTGACCCGCCCTGCCCTATTTAGCATTTTTAAAAATTTTGCCCTGCCCTATCAAGCACTGTCCCATTTAGGCTCTTTTATTTTTATTGCACTTTGCAATGTTGTATTTTTTATTTTTTACTGGAGCTCTATATTCCTTTTTCTAATGATAGCTAAGGATCTGAAATTGGCTCACTAATACTTCTTCTCTTCATTTTATTCGTCAGTTCACTAAATTCTTTATTTATTAGTTAAGAAAAAGATTTTATATTTTAAAGGCGTGTATGTATGAAGGAGCTAGAGTCAATAGATCGCTTAATGATTTAACAAGTAAATGTACGTACGAATAAATGTTGATGAGACAGTAAAAATTAGTTTTTTTTTTCTTTCTTTTTTTTGTATAAGTAAAGTCTTCTATTCATTGCTATTAGTATGAATAATATCAATATTAATATTTTTATATGGTTTATGTTCTTGAGGTTATTGAAAATTATATTAGTATAAGAAAAATTGGTTCACCGTACTCATAACCCACAAACAATACCATTCACCGTCCCACAATAGTATCAACCACTACCAATACACAATCATCATTATATTGTCCCTCACGTACGTTTATATGTTGATAAAACAAACAATCTATTATTCAGTGTTAAGATTTATAACAATATCTTAATAATCAAATATGCATCATATTAGGACATCTTAATCTTAATCTTTTTTAGGGAAAAGAAAAAACAAACGTCGCTCAAGTATTTGAAAGGGGAAAGTAGGAAGTTTACCGATAAGCATAGAAATCAGTGGCCTTGACTGGAAAACCAAAGATATCAACTGATTCAACAGTACTATCAGTAACAAGGACAATCAATGATACTAACAAGAAAATGAATGTAAGGAACCTCATCAACAGAGATACCACTAGCCACCAGCCAACAGCCACTGCTGATCTTTGGTTTTCGTCCATGTTTGCCGTTGATGATGTTTGGTTTTGATCCATGGTTGCCTTGTACTTGTACTACTAATCAACGTCCTTTTATGGTGCTTATAATTAATGTTACTGATACCGCTAAAGGTTGAGATGAAATGGAAGATACCGATAAGTCTCGAGTTTGCGCTCTGGAATGAAAAAAATATATGGCAGGGAGTGTTTCCCACCTCTTTAATGGACCTTACGTGGCATAAATCAGAATTAATGGGGACCCAATACAAATATCGAACATAGAGTAAGAAAACCAAACAATCTTGATGTTAATGCTATAATTGCTTTGTCAATAATTTCGCGTAAGATTTTTAAATTATTACTCAATTCCTTGGAGCTTTCTATTTGTTTGCAAAAGTTGTTCACAAAATGTGTCTCAATCTATAAAACATAATTCCTTTTAAAGAACAAAGGAAATCGCGAGCCGGCTGCAAGAGTTTGCTTATAAGTTATACCATCAATTCCGGGGTTTTTCTTCCATTTATAGGGCCCGCGGGTAAGACAGGTCGGTCAAGTCATTCGGGATTCTAAGTCCAGTGTTGTCTATCGCATTTGATAAAAAATTTACTCGCATTTAATATTTATATGAAATTACATCAATTCCATTGTGAAATGAAGTGAAAGTACATACAATTAAATTACGAGGTTAAGAGGAAGAAGTGTATGCACAAAACACATATCATATCATGCATTTATTAATGGAAAATTATCAGTTATGTCAGGCCATAGGTAAGTCGGTACAGAAATTAGCCAATTTAAAAAATATTATAAATATTAGCCAATTAGCTATTTGTAGCAAGAAAATATCAAATTTTGCTTTTTTTTTTGAATGAGTATTGTTGCAATAGATTGGATACATCTTAAGGAGTTTAAATCTCAGTTTTGGAATAATTTGGTAGAGTTTTGAGGTGGTTTGGATTGAAAATTCGAAGTAGAAAATGAACATTTAAAAAGATGATGTGTGTATCACACTGTGTATCACATATGTATCATATTCAGGGGCGGCTCAAAGGATCTCGTGACCTAAGGCGAAATCATATTGAGAGACCCTTAAATTTCTTTTGTACACAAACTAAAAAAATTACTTTCTAAACAACAAATTAATCATTTAAGACAAAAATAGCGAATTTTCAAAAAATAAAAGAAAATAGGAAGAAGAGCACAAAGAATAAAGTGATGGATTATTAGATGTTGAGATCCGAAATTCAAAGTGAAATTTTTGATTCGGCTATCATCACAAACAAGAAAAAGAAATGAGCGCACATAACGTGATACTTTAAGTTTTGAGAATTGACAATGTCAAAAATATTTATACCTTTCTGATTAATTTAAACAATAATTGTAGTTCATTCTGTTAAGTTGCACTTGTTAGTAAATATCTAAAATAAATGTAAATAACCTATACAATATGTTGAATTACACTAAAAGAAAATCGGTGCATGAATGCTTTTGTGTTCATACCGTTTCAGAGAAGATTGTAAAAGAAATTCATTATATTGTCGATGTATATAACTTAATTTCTATATAAAAAAGGTAAAACTAAAATTGAAGAGTGAAGCAAATATACTAATTAATGAGTGAAGGAAATTATTAAAATTTATGAATTTATTTGGTATAAACTAACCTAAATCAATAATAGAAAAATATACTGTAACACTTCTATTTATAATATCCATTTATAAAATTATATAATAATAATAATAATAATAATAATAATAATAATAATAATAATAATAATTATTATTTAAAGTAAATTTGGGGCCTTTAAATTTTGGGGCCTAAGGTAACAACCTCACTGGCCTAGCCTTAGAGCCGCCCCTGGTCATATTTGTATCAAATGTGTATCACATGTATATCCATGTATACATGTGTGTGAGATATATGGTGATACATGTGTCGCAGAAAATTTTTTGAACTCGATTTTAACTACAGATTTTGATACCAAATCAGTCCAAATCACCTCAAATCTTCCTTAAATTTTGTATATTGACTCATCCATATATTTTCAATGAATTTCAACCATACCCATTGAAAAATGTCCCTTTGTGCTTAGATTTTTAGAATCTTGTATGTATATTTTTTTTTGTATTTCATCACCTTGTTTGCTACCTGATGTTTGGCCAAAATGCTATACTTTTAGTACATTACTCGCCCTATATTTTGTTAGTTTAGTGATTAATTGTGCGACAATTGAGCTAAATTATATTTTCTTTATGTGTAGGAGCATCAGAAGAAAGAGTCGAATGAAAGTTGCATGAAAAAAGGACGAAAATACAAGAAAAGAGCACAAAAACACCAAGTACCCAAGCCTGGCTACATGCCAAGCATAGCCAGCTCTGTAGCTAGCTTTACCGTGCTATAGGCCAAGCATAGCCAGCTTGACCGCTGCAGAACAGGCATAGCCAACTTTGTAGCCAGGCTGACCGCGCTATAAGCCTAGCCTCACGAGGTCTATAGCCCGGTGATCAAAAGTGCTTGAATTAAAAGACTTCGACCTGGATTTGGACTCAAGGATCTCGACCCTAACATATAAATACTCCCTAAATGAGTTGAGAAAGGGTTGGACATTATTTTGGAGAAGAAAAAGGCTACAGAGCACTGTGGAGCAAGAATCAAACGAGTTTTCCCTCTGTTTCTCTCTTTACTTTGTAGTTTAATGTCTTTGACTTTAGCCATTGGGCCACATCCATCTATCCTAAACAATAAATCTTTTCTTGTTCGTTCTTCGAATGACGCTAGTGGACACTAATTTCTTCATGATGACTGTTTATATATTTATGAGCGGCTAAACTCTCTCATCTAGGGTTTGATGGAACCTATTGAAGGATGATTTTCTACTATGTTTATTATAAATTTGTCGTTGATATTTCTATACTTGTTCAACTATATTTTCATTATTTTTGATTGAAGAACTCTCAATTAACTGTGCCTATTTAGTGTGTACTGCTTGAGAGAGAGAGAGTACTGTTGATACCCAATTTTTTTTTTTCATATTTTTATAAATATCCTATATACTTTCAAAATATCATTCTTGCATCATCACCAATTTACAAGAGTCATATAAGTACTTTCTGTAATTTTTCATAATTTTTAAGGCTTTAAAATTGATTTTCTTATATTTAAATTATTCAAATATTAATTAATTACTCCTTCAAATTATTTTGTGATAACTTAATCATACAAATTTATTGCTTACACCTACATATATGATTTAAAATATTTTACTTTATTTTATATAATTCATCTGCATTTTTGAACTATTTACACATTTTTTGCAATAATAGCCTATACTTTACAATTAATTGCATTTGTCATTTTTATTCAGGGCCAAAATAATTATTTATATTTTTATAATCTTCAAATATTATTTTAAAGTATTAAGTTTTATAAATATTATTTTTATATTTATATATCTATTTTATTAAATTAATTTTCCCTTAATTTCTTGTATTTAAAATCTTGTCCAAAACAGGCCAAATTTCAGACCCACTTCACCATTCCACACCTTAAACTCCAGCCCAATAACCCCTAGCCCAATATCACGACCCGTTACACCCGACCCAAGTTATCTAAATCTCAGCCATTGATAAAAAATGATCAACGGCTCACAACACTTCCCCCCTTTCTTCTTATATCCCTCATCCCAAACCTTAACGACCATTCCTCCTGCCCATCCGCCTTTACGTTCCCTCATCTCCCCACTCTCATACCAAACCCTAGCCGCCTCTTCCCAAATCTCTTCAAAACCCAGCTAAATCATAAAACTCTTTCACGACCTGCTTACCTTAATTGCACTATCTCGTTATCATTCATACGCTCGTGGTATTATTTAGTACTTGCCTGATTTTGGCAAATATTATCTCTCCGAATCGAGTGCAATCGTCCTCAACCTACATGATTCAGACGAAAATCTATCTTTATACACTCTCAACTAGGTCGTATAGGTCTGATTCACGGAGATTCTTGGCTAATTTTGACTACTTGTCAAACTAGGATTTGTCTGATTTTTACTTATTCTGATTCGAAATAGGCTATGCATGTGAATTTTCTTTTCTCCGCTTGAACTTGATTGATTTTCTTTCCTTGTCTGTCTTCTTAATCGACTACTATATAAGCCCTTCTTGCCCGTTCCCCTAAAAAATAATTCATTACTCAACTACTGTTACCACTACTTTGAATCTTCTATACTTTTTACACTATTGGCTCTTGGCCGGCTGAAAGCTAAGGCCACCAAATTTCGTTTAATTGACCTTTTCAGTACGAGCACTGCCCGGGGTTCATCTGAAACCCTTGGGAGCTAGAGTTCTTTGGGTTCTGCCGTTCTCTCTGCTGCCAACGACTGAAGTATTGTTGGAATTATTCTTCTTGTTTACTCGTTTGATAATTTTCAACTGGTAAGTGTCTTTGGCTCTGTCAATTTCATTCCTTCCCGTTGTGTTCATGTTTTGTATATCTATGTCACTTAAACTTTGTGAATCTATATGCTACTGTGTTACCCCTATCATTTTATGATTCATAACTTTTCTAGCATCTGAACTTGTCCAATTTCTGACTCTGATGTATGCCTATTGTATGTGTTCAGTATGAATGATTCTCACTACCTTAAGCATGCCCTGCTTAGTATGTTTTTGTGTGTTTGAATGATTATACCTGCCACCAATCCTGAGTTTATCTCCCTGCCTTGTTCTGTATCTTTGTGATAAATCAATTTATGTGTTCTAATTCCTATTGGATCATTCATGTGTACTTAATACCCTACTAGAGTTAGTTCTTAGCCATGTTGTTAGCCAAACGTATTGCCCTGCTAATTGTGAACTTTAAGGTGTGTTCCCTGCCTGGATTAATCACATGTTGTTTAGTACTACCTATGGTTTACAAGGTTAAAGTGCAACATCCAGCTTTTCTCTTATGTGTAATCTGATAGTCTACTTTGATGTATCCTTGCCTACCAAGTTATGGTATTGCTTAAGCCTTTTGTGTTATGACTGGTACTTAACATGTTCAAATTAAGTTTTGTT